GGCCTCAGAGAGAACACAGGACATGCACAGACACACATGGGCACTGGGACCCTGGGGACCAGGGGAGCCAGCCCCTCCTTTAGCCTCTGCACTGGGCAGGACATGGCCCTGACAGCAGCTTGCAAAGGCAAATTTCCAAGGAGTCAGGCAGCCCTGGGGCTGCCTATTATCCTGGGTGAACTCGCCACTCAGTCACTGCCAAGAGCAGGATTCTTCCTGCAGCGGGCTCTTCCTGCAGCGGTCCGGCACGGGAGCCAGCTCGCTGCAGGTGAGTTTCAGGGGGAGAGGACGGAGGTTTGAATGCTGCCTTGACTGCCAACAAGCTTCATCTGGAAAATGGGTTTGTCTTCATGATGCTTCAGTAGCCTTGGCTTATACTGACTCATGTCAAGATGTAGCCCAGACTGGCCTGAACAACTGACCTCCCTGCCTAAAACTTGTAAGCATCTGGGATGTAGACAGATGTGTCACTCTGGTGCATGGAGTCTTCTGGACGGAGAGCTGCTGCTCATGGAATCCCGGACTTCACACCTGCCAGGTCAGTACCCTACTGCTGAGCTGCCCCAGCCCCTCGCCGCCGGGGAATTCTAGGCGGGGGCTCTGCCTCTGAGCCACACCTTGAGACTTTTCTTTACTTTTTATTTTGAGACAGGGTCTTGTTAAATTTCCTGGCAGTCCTTGTTTTTATGATCCTCCTGTCTCAGCCTCCTGAGGAGCTGGGATTCTAGGCATCACATTATGCTTAGCAATTTTCTTTTTTCAACAATGAATGGCTTAATGTCTTCAGATATCTCCACTGGGCCCTCCCTCGAGGTCCAGCCCAGGGCTCTCAGACCTGCCTGTAAGTCTACAGGCCTTCCCCTGGTGTTAGCAATGCTTCCAATGGCGCTGGCGTCTACCTCAGCCTTTATCTGCACCCAGGGTTCCTGAACACCAGGCCAGTACTATCACCGAGCTTCATCCCCACCGGAAGTCCCTAATGTGCTGCTGGGTCTTGTGTCACTGCATTTACCGGCAGGAGGATGGCACCACTGTACCCATTTTCCAGATGAGGAAGCTGAAGCCCAGACAGGGAGAGTGACTTCTCCAAGGGCACACAGTCAGAAAGTGGCAGACTGAGACTCAAACCCACGTGAATGCATCTTGGGCTTGAATCTCCCTTCCTCTGGGACAGGGCTGTTTTGAGGGTCTTGCTGGAGGGCCTCTTCTTTGGTTGGTGGGAGTGTGGCTTTGAGGGTGCAGGAGTGGCTTGATCAAGGTACACTCTTGCCAGCTATGCGGGGCTGAAGACTTGCCCTGGGGAGAGGGGTGCCGCCGCCAGATGGACTCTTGGCAGTGAGGGTGGGACCATGGTCCAGCAGCTGCTGTGAGATGTCAGCTGACTGCTCCAAAGCATGGGACTGAGCGTGATGTCCCTCATGGTGACAGCTTGTGAGATGGCTCGTTAGTGATGGAACATGGAGCATGGAGCATGGAGCATGGTTAGTGGACGGACAGCACACGTATGCACACCCACACTACACCTGCACAGACCACACACACAGATACGGTGAGGAGAGGAGGGTGGGATTGTTCAAAGGGTTTCAGCACATCCCTGGGAGAGCACAGGCAGAGTCCTTGCCTCAACCTCTTACCCAAGAAGGGAGCAGCCTCCTTCCTTCTCATTCCTGCTCCTAGGCCTCCCAGACCTTCCTGGGAGGAGGACCCAGTGGGACAGGTAGCTGGTCTAGATTCCATTTCCACACACCCTGCCTCAGCCTCAGTTTCTCATCTGTGGAATGGGGATCACTACCCTGGTGCAACAGCAACATAGATGACCACGCACAAAGTGCTTCCTCTTATTCAAGCCACTCCATCCTGCTGTATGGGGAAACTGAGGCACTGAGAGGCTACCAGACTCGGGGAACCTTTCTTCTTTCCTCCCTTTTCTGAGACATTTGTACTACCTAGCTCAGGCTGGCTTTAGACCAGCAATCCTCCTGCTTCGACCTCACTTCCACCACACCCAGCTGGAGGCACCGCTCGCTGCTGCTGGGGTTTTCTGCCTTGTCTGTGAGCAGACGGCTTCATGGGACAGAGAAGGACAAAAGCAAGTGGATGCTCTACCATGACATCCACAAGGGGACACCAAGCAAAGGCTTCACAAGTTGAGGCATCTCAGATACAAGAGAGCAGAAGCCTGCCGGGGCCTGGGGGACGAGGGAGGTTCTGAAACTTCTCCCGGGAAGCACGTAGCAACTGGCCTCGCTTCTGCTGTTGGGTATGCAGGAGCGACTTCACCAAGGTGCTGGCCAGCTTGCACCAAGCTGCAGCTCTGTCTTTGGTGAGAGGTGGCAGGGCCAAGTGGGGTCTTGGTAGTGAGGTTGGGACACAGCAAGACCCACAGTTCCAAGAGAATCCTTGGCTCAGGCCCTCAATGCCAGTTTCTATGGTAACTGCCGGCCTGCACAGGCACATGGATGTCCCTGGTCTGACCTTCCCTTGCATAGGAATTGGAAAAGAAAGTTAAAAACAAGGAATTCTAGAAGTATAGCATAGCACCATGTCTGCACCGAATTCATGAGAACATTAACCACTTGACCTAGAGCTGGGAGATCTGTTCGGGGCTCAGTGCAAAGGCCCCTGGCTCCACCCTCAGGACCAGAAAAAAGAAGGGAAGAGAAGAGAATACAGGAAGGACAGGAGAGAGGCAGAAGAGTGGATAAAAAGGAGAGGACTGGGAGCCTGGCCAAGTCAGGCTTGCAGGCTATGGAAATGCTGATTTATGTTGCCAGACCACAGCCCGCTGTGCCCCAGGGGCATCTGGGAGGGCCCACTACAGCCCCTCCACCTGGAAATGTAACAGTCCGGGCCCTCGGTGATGAAACAGGCACTCAGTCCCCGGTGAGGGAGCAGGCTGTGCCTACTGAGGAGGCTGCCAGTGAGAGAGCCCAAAGAAACCCCAGGTCTCTCTGTGCCTGATGAGGTGGGTCAGGGACCCTGCAAGACCCTCCTGTCTGGGGATGACCCCTGTGATAGGCACAGCTTTGGTTCTGAAGATGGATTTCTGGATGAGCAGCAAGTCAGGTCTCTCCTGATATGGAGGTCTGCTGCGGGAGACAGCACACTGCGTGTGCTGCTAGGGATTTTGGGCTCCCTCTCCAGCTAGACCTAAACCGGCCCCATCTCAGGCTGGGCACCATCTTGGAATGGCTGCCTAGAAACTTGGATGCCAGTGGTCATGTGCCTTTGAGAATGGCCATTGAGACACTGAATACCACATTAAGGGAATGCACAGACCTCTGGTGACACTCTGAAATGACCATTCTGAACTTAGGTACCATCTCGGAATGATGGTGAGCTTTCAGTTAACATCCTGGAATTGCTTCTTACCCCTTGAGCACGTTTGAGATGGTTTCCTAGAACTCAGCGGCCAGATGGCCGCTTGCTTCTTGAGCACTGTCTTGAAACGGTTTTCAAGAATTTGGACTCCATTTGGAATGGCTGCCCAGACCTAAGGGGTCATTTTGGATGGTCATCTAGAACCTGGGCGCTATCCTGGTGTGCACCACCATTGCCAGGCCGGGGACCATTGTGAAATGGCCCCTGAACCCTATAATGTCATCTTGGAATGATGGCGAGAATTTAAGGGTCATCTTAGAATGGCTACCCTGCTCTCCAGCACCACCATGAAGTGGGTGCCATTTTAAAATGGCCGCTCAGAACTTGGGAGCCATATTTGAAGCTGCCATCTATAACCAGGGTACCATCATGGAGTGGTGCCACAGTCCATGACCTTGCTGAGGGCAGGGCATCCTAGGAGCCTTGGGAGGACAGAGACACATAGAAGTAGGCCACCAGGTGTATGGTAGGGGCCTTGGGGTACCGCTGGGATGGGGCTCTCATGCACACTTGCTTTCTGATTGTCTTTTCGGGGGCATCCCAAAGAGACAACATGTAGGGGGATTGTGGGGAGGGTGATGAGATGTCTCCAGAGGCAAGAATACCAGAAGCAGCACAGCAAGAGGCCACCACCTTGCTGTGGGAGGAGTGGAAGGTGGCTCTGGTCCCGTCCTTCCTTCCTTAATGGTGATGGCATGCACAAAGCCAGTTGCAGCCCCACTGGGCACACCCCCCACCCCCTCGGGCCCACAGCTCTCATTCCCATCTCGAAACTCCAGAATATGACCCACATCTGCCAGTGGGACTCAGACTGGGGGTGGGGAAGGGGACTTGCATGGAGACTTACGTGAAGGCAAAGGCCACCAGGGCCCCACTGACCACTATGAAGTCCAGAATGTTCCACAGATCACGGAAGTAGGCCCCCTGATGCAAGACGAGGCCCAGGTCGATCATCTAGGGGAGAGGACAGTTTGCTCAGAGCCTCAGCCCTTCCCTAGGATAACACCCACCTGGGGAGGAGGGACTGACAGGGCCTCATGTCCAGATGACAGGCGGCTCTTCTGAGGAAAGAGAGCCCGGTCTGCCAGCTCTCAGTCTAAGTCTCAGAGTGTGCTTTGAGTGAACCTCCACAGGAGTCCATGCATCAGCAAGCCTTGTAGACTCTGTATTTGCAGCCTCCCAAGACTGTGTCCACCTCTTACTTCCTCTGAGATCTTTGGTTCCTGCCCTCCTCAGGGTCTACTTGGCCCCTGACAATCCCCCATCTGCCACCCGACCCTGCAGAGTTCCTCTTCTGCCCAGAGCTCTTATTTCCTATGGTGCGTACACCAAAGTCCTCCCAGTCACCGTCACGCCTTACCTCTCTGCCCATACCTGCCCTCCCCCGCCCCCTCCCTCTCTCCACCACACTGCCTGGTGAACGCCCCTCACACACACTGAGCCTCTTTCCTCTGGAAGGTCTGTGGAAGCCCCCGACTAGTTCTTACCTTGATCACCATCTCAAAGGTAAACACGCCCGTAAAAACATAGTCAAAATACCGCAGCACCTGCAGGGCAAACAAAGGCCGGGGTTGCCCGCAGCTCCCAGTAATCCCACCAGAACCCCTGGGGTGTGGGACACTCTGAAAACTCCCCAGAAGCAGGGCTTCCACCCAGGAGCCACTCCCAGGCAGGACCAAAGATGTGTAGGTTGTGAATAAAAGTGTCCAGGAGATGGCAGCAAATCCTGCCGACTTGCCCTGCTGAGGGTGGGTCACCAGGAGTGCCTGGTTCACACACTCCAAGTCCCCTTGTGGACTTAGAGGGCCTTGGAGGAGTCCATTCCACCGTGGGGTGACTGTCCTTGGGTTGGTGGGGTTGACTGGCCAGTGTCCACACCTGGCCAGTGTCCACACCCTGGGCTTTCCTGTTTCCAGGAGCATCTTCTAAACTTTGGGGCCACCTGGCTTTCACTTTAAAGGTACCCCTCAGTCTGGGACGATGGACCCTTTCCTTCCTTCCCTCATTGTCCTGCCCAGAGCTGGGCTGAAGTTGCTGGATTAGCAAAAATGGCCTTTGTCCTGCCCCTAGCTTCTGGAGTCACCCAGGACACCATACGTGTGTGCGTGCGTGCGTGCGTGCGTGCGTGCATGCATGCGTGTGTGTGTGGTGGTGTGGAGGGTAGGGTGAGGGGGTGAGAGGTGGGAGGTGGGGGTAGGGGGTGGTGGTGGTTGAGTCGGGAGCTACAGGTTCAAGGGCTGGTAATTATGAACACACCAGCAGAGGGTGGTTATGATACCCGAGTCAGTTTGCTTCCCACCCTCCATGGCTCCTGCCCCCTCAGGATCTGCTGGCCATGCAGGCGACTGCAGGTGTGGCTCAGAGGCGGGACTCACGTTGTTGCGGGGCGCATTGGGCTGCACAGGGTCCTCGGCGGCCAGCGCTATGCTGCTCATGGCGATGACCATGAGGATGCACATCTCGAAGTAGCGCAGGTTCAGGATGTAATGGCACAGCCGGCGAAGGCTGAGGGCAGAGCAGGGAGCCGCTCAGACCCAGGCTCGCGGCCCTTCCTCTCCCCACAGTCCCACAGGCCAGTCCCATTGCCCCACCCTAGCTGTCTGTCATCGACTCTCGGTGGGGCACTGGGTCCCACAGTCCAGTGCAGCTGAAGACCTCAGCCACCCGAGACAGTCATCCTTCCTGTCTACCCTCCAAACAACTGGAATACTTGGCTTCCCAAGCTGGTGGGATCACTACTAACGATTCTGCAGGACACAGGAAGACCTCATTTATTTATTCTTCTAATTACATTATTTATTTGTGTGTGGGGACGGTGGCTGTGCCAAAGGTCGCCTGTGCAGAAAGAGGACAATTTGTGGGAGTTGATTCTGTGGTCCTGGGGACTGAACTTGGGTTGGTAGGCTTGGCAACATGTCCCTTTACCCACTGAGCCACCTCAAGGCCAGGTTTTCCACTGTGAAATATTCTAGCATCTAAACAAAGAAACCAAGCGTGGCGGCCCCTGTCTGTCATCAAGCACAGGAAGGCTGGGCTGGGGAAACACTAAGAATTCAAGACAATCGGGACCCTGGATGAGTTCAGGGCCAGTGTGGTCACAGAGTAAGATCTGGTCTGAAAACAAAATACACACACAAAACACACAACAAAGCATACACACCAGCAAATCACACACATCAACAAATCACACCCCCCCCAAACAAGACACACACACTAAACAAAACAAAAGACAAGGGCCAGTGAGATGTAAGGGTGCTCAGCTGACCTGGTGCCCAGTGTCCAATCCCTGTACCCACATGGAGATGGAAAACAGTGACTCCAGAGTCTCCTGACCTCCACACGGGAGCCATGGCGAACACACACACACACACACACACACACACACACACACACACACACACACACACACACACACACACACACACACACACCAGTAATAAAAACAAAACCAAATCCTGTCACTTCCACCACCAATAGAAAAACATCTGGGGCCGGGGCTCAGCTGGTGTACTGCTTGCCCAGCATGCGCAAAGCCTGGTCCATCCCCAAGACCAATCAAACAAGCGAAACCCGGGGCCATTAGAAGCAGCCTGTTCTGGCTCAAGCTTCACCTGATTTCACTGTTCCAATCTAAGAGGCTATTCTGAATTTTTTTTTTTTAATTTATAAAGCACTTAGAGCAGTAGTTGGCATTAAGTGCCACTTAAACATTTGTTTAGTAAAGGATAAAAATTGAACTTTAGGAAAAAGTTGATGTGCCCACATTTTTGTGGTGCAATGGTTAGACACACAGCTCAGACGCATGGCTGCCACATAGGTTGTGCAGGTTGCGTGCTGCACAAGGCAGCCATTTCTAAAGGACGCCTTTCCCAGCATGGCACAGGTTCGAGTATGTATGGCACTGGTTTCCATCTCATGGCAGGAAGGGGTCTTTTCCAGGGAGGTATAGTATGACAAGTTTTTATCTTCTATGTGAAGTAAGTGGTTCTAGTTTCCTGCTCCCGGGGGCTTCAGCGGACTCCCACTGTCTGGCCCGCCCCACTCCGGGAGCCTGGTCTGCTGCCATACTCACGGGTTAGTGGTGGAGAGGATGAACATGGAGCTGTACGGTGGCATGGGTTTGGGGCCGTCCTCCCCGGGGTCTGCCTCCTCTTCCTCCTTCTTCTCTTCCTCCTTCTTTGGCAGTGGGTCTGGGTTGGCGTTTTTGTTTACTGTTGGGACAAAAATAAACATGGGTTCATCCATGATTTCCCACAAAGCTCTGGACTCCTGGTCATACCTGGAGCTGACACTAAGCATACGACATTTGAGGAAGATCTTCCTGTGTGTCAGGCATCACTCAACCCTAGGGGCTTGGTGCCCACGATCTCTCTGACAGGTAAGGGGATCCAGGCACAGAGAAGTGAAGCGGCTGGTCTAAGGTCACACAGCTGCAAAGCTGCCGAGCTGTTGCTGGACTAGGCAACCTAGCCTGAGTGCCAGTTCCCGAACACTCTATGGGGCAATGGCGACTCTGTTCTCTGTGATTTTTTGATGTGACTAGGATCTGCATGGGGCAGCTGCCCACACAGCAGAAAACTCTCGTGAGAGCACCCAGGCCTGACTGTGGCACCTCTCTCTCAGGCAGGCTCCCCAGTCCTGTGTGGTTGTTTGTGGGCAGGCTGAGCCTCCCTGGGGGTCTGCTTTCTTCATCTGAAAATTAGTAAAGTGAGTTTATTATCAAGACCCACCACAGTGAAGTCAGGTGGAGGACACGTGCCGGTAATTCTGCCACCAAAGAGGAAGAGACAGGAGGGTCACTTCTGAAAGCTAAAGGCCAGCCTGGGCTACACAGTGAGATGTTATCTCAAAACACAACAACCCCAAGCCAAAAACTGACTCACTCCTCACAGGAATCTATGCCACGTTGTCTTTAGGAGCCAAAGCCCCAGGTGACTAGGGAAATGCAGCCACACTAGTGTGTGAGACATCTGGTTACCAAGATTGGGAGAAGAGCGTGTAAAACATTCTGAGGTGTGTGCGCAATGACAGCACTTCATACAGACATAAACGTTCCGGATAAATAGAGACATTATCATCGTTAACAGAGATGGGGTCTAGGCTGGCCTTAAATTCACTACGTAGCTAAGGGTGGCCTCGAACCTGTGAACTTTCAGCCTCCGCTCACCACTACTGCAGGTTGTCTGTGGTGCTGGAGTGTGTGCTAGGCAAGCACTCTACCAGCTGGGCCAGGTCCCCAGCCCCTTCCTCCTTATTGTGTGTGCCACTGGACCATTTACAACGATGTTCCCCGCTGTGCTGGGTATTGGGGCAGCAGTGGTGCACTCCCCCGCCCCCCGTTTCCATTTGGGGATTCCTTCTCCACTGTGGCGGTGTGGGTTCTGTGAAGGGAAGGCAGGGTGCAGAGTATGGCCACAAGCCAAGGCCGCTGGGGGCTGCCTCCGGGGTCCAGTGTTTCTTCCTCCCACATCTGCCAGCACCAACTGTGAAGAAAATGGCCTGGCAACCCTGCCGCTCCTCACCTTGGACCACGGTGTGGTTGAGGGGCGGGCAGGCCGGGGGGATCTCCACCGCCATGTGCTCGGGTTTCCTGGCAGTCTTCGCTGAGTTGGGCTGGGTGCTGCTGGGGTTGGTGACGATAAGGCTGTTCTCGGGGGTCTTGGGGGGGCCGGGGTTGGACGGGTTGCCCGGGTTGTTGGGCATCCTGCGGCTGGCAGCGTTCTGGGGGTTGGTGGCCAAGGTGGGACCAGGGTTGGTGCTGTTCCCGATCTTGGTGGGGCTTGGGGGAAGGCCGCTGTGGCCCAGGCTGTCGTGGGGACTCGCAGGCTCCCCAGTGGCCAACTTGTTATTCTTCATGTTGTCAAGGTCCTCAGCCAGCGGCAGGTCCTGGCGGCCCAGGTCCTGCTGGATTGGCCTGGTGGTGGACAGGTTGGGACCAGACATGGGGACCCCGGAGCCCTGGTTCTCTCTAAGGAGAGGATCAAAGTGGAAGAATGCAGTGGTTAGGATCAGCAGAGCGGCTGCCCAGACCTCTGCCCAGGGCCACAGCTCAGCAGAGGACGGTCTGCCACACTCCCCAGCTCACATGAGACCTTGAGCCTCATCCCCCCGGAAAAGAAAGTCACTTCACTGATTCCACACTTCACAGAGTGTCGCAGCTCCAGGCAGGTCATGCAGTTATGAACTCTTGTGATAAAAGGAACCACACTTTGTGAACTCTTTGTAGTGCTGAGGAGGCGCCCAGGGCCTCACACATGCTGTGGTAGCCCTCTAATGCTGAGCCACACCCACGCCCCTCGATGGGGGTTCGGCTCTACCCCTGACTCACACCCCTGGTACTACTGGGGATTTTTTGCAACACCTGATCATAAATTTCCAGCTAACTTTTTCTTTCTTTGTTTTTTGAGACGGGTTTCTCTGTGTAACAGAGCTCACTCTGTAGACCAGGCTGGCCTTGAGCACAGAGATCCGCCTGCTCTGTCTCTGCCTCCCAAGGCGTGCACCACCACTGCCCAGCTTGTTTTTGTTTTTATGAGACAGGGTCCCACTATGTAGATCTAGCTGTCCTGGAACTCACTATGTAGACCAGGCTGACCTCTAACTCACAGACATCCACCTGCTTCTGCCTCCCGAGTGCTGGAGTTAAAGGTGTGCGCCACCACACCTGGCTCAATTTCCAGTTAATTTTAATCCTTAAGTATCTTCAAGGAAGATTCAGAAGATACACAGAACAGAAGCTGACCCTGTCCCAGTGTCCAGGACAGCAGCTGGCTGTAGTAAGCGTGTCTCATGTAGGGTCCCACTGCCAGATGCTGTGCCAGCAGCTGTATACGCTGCTGAGACCTAGGAGACTGTCCTAGACCATCTGAAGGAGGCCATAAAAGCAGGCCCTTCACTGTACACTTCCTGATCCCCTTCACCGCACACTTCCTGACCCCCTTAAGGAGGCCATAAAAGCAGGCCCTTCACTGTACACTTCCTGATCCCCTTCACCGCACACTTCCTGACCCCCTTCACCACACACTTCCTGACCCCCTTCACTGCACACTTCCTGACCCCCTTCACCACACACTTCTTGACCCCCTTCACTGTACACTTCCTGACCCCCTTCACTGTACACTTCCTGACCCCCTTCACTGCACACTTCCTGAGCCCCTTCACCGCACACCTCCTGACCTCCTTCACCGCACACCTCCTGACCCCCTTCACTGTACACCTCCTGACCCCCTTCACTGTACACATTCTGACCCCCTTCACTGCACACTTCCTGACCTCCTTCACTGCACACTTCCTGACCCCCTTCATTGCACACTTCCTGACCCCCTTCACTGCACACTTCTTGACTCCCTTCACTGCACACTTCCTGACCCCCTTCACCGCATACTTCCTGACCTCCTTCACTGCACACCTCCTGACCTCCTTCACTGCACACCTCCTGACCT